AGTTCTTCTTTGTTATTTATTGAGCTTTAAAACAAATTGATATGATCCGATATTAAACAAACTAATTATAGTAGATTAATTATTCAAAAGTGAACGGAATTTACAATAACACGGGAATAATAAACAGAGGGCTCTCTCCCTCTCCTGACAGCCCGTCAGTATCATGCAGCTCGCGGATCAGTAATGAGTGACCCGACAGTAAAACTAAACGTATCTNAGCCCAAAGCTCTAGCACGTTGACTTGGCGTGCACCCTCCAGGGCAGACCACTGACCCTGAACAGTCCTGCCCTTCAGCACTGCACCCCACCCTGAGAGACATGCACCTACGGTGACGGTCGCCTGGCGGGATGGGATGGGGACTTTCATGTGCCTCTGCCACTTGGAGTCCAAGTGAAGGCTGTTCAGCCACATCTGCATGGGGCGCAACAAAAGCGGGCCTAAGGGCCCAACGACCGATGTATATAATATGCTCCCTCCATTCTTCCATGGATTTGGTATCTAGTCCCACAACGTCTTCCAAGCGATCCTGTACAGGTGTTGAAAGGGCTTTTGTGACTGCACTCCTCCACAACATTATAACAGCTGTAGAAACATCAGAGCGTTCTCCTGTGCTGTCCATCCATACTTCTTCACATCTTTTCAAGAAGGCATGCATTTCTTCCCCCGTTTCTTTCATCAGGCTAGAGAGAGCAGTTAAATGGCATTCTGTCGGGTAGGTGAGATAGGCCGCCCAATACTGCGACCTATAATGGTTGAGTGTCATCTGGTTCATCACTACATTGGGCCCTGACATCTATCTGTCTTGCCTCTGGTCTTCCTTCTACCCCCCGGGGGGTCGCGAGACCCCGAGTGGGGTTCGCGAGAGGATAACAAAATAAAAATGGAAAATTAAAAAAAAAAAAAATTATAAAAAAGAATTGATTAATTTCTTTTATGATTTTTTTTTTCAATTATTATTAATAATAAAGTTTCCATAGACATTTTCTTCTTTGACAATCCACTAGCGCAGTGTTTCTCAAACTTTTTCATACCAGTGCGGAAAATTGAAATTAATTCACTAGTTTATTCACTAATTAACTTCCCCCCCTCTTCCTTTCTTCTGTTGAGTTCTTGTTCCTCTTCTCTCTGTCTCTCTTTTTTTCTTTTGTTGAGTTCTTTTTCTTTTCCTCTTTGTCTCTCTTCTTTGTGTCTCTCTTCCATTCTTCTGTTGAGTTCTTCCTTCAGCTGGTTGACTTTACTGGATAGGATTCTCACCTCATACTCCAATACTTTGACACTTCTTGCTGTGGGGACAATGGCGGCTCCAGAGTATTTTTGTTGGGTAATCTATGGTAGGGCTAACCCATACAGTGGTACATACACGCTCCCCTTGACAGTGAAACGCCACGCGTGAGGTTTAGATTATTTCCTTGTCTCAATCCGAATTGAACTGTATGAAATAAAAAGGCACATTTGTCTTGTGGTAAATAAAAAGGGCGACCTGGAGCCAATCCTGCAATTTCCCCACAGGTGAAAGAGTTTACATGCTGAAAACCCAACCCCTGCAGGGGGGTCTGGGGGGGATTCTCCCCCAGGAGATTTTTGGAAATACTAACATAAAATACACATTCTGGTACTCTCTTGAGAAGATGCACCTGTTTTATTTCGGAAAACTGTGAGTGGTGTCGGAGTCAAATCACGACGTCATGCGCCCAAGAGTAAGAGGTCAGTGAGGGCCCTTTGATTGTTATCCAGAAGAAGAGTGCGGCGTTTGCGCGGTGTGTTAATCGGTGTTAGTACGTGGGAAAAAGACCGTCCTTCTTTGGTGTGACCCGATAGGAATCCGTGCGGTTAAGTGCGAAGGGAGCCGGAAAAGGAGGGTGAGAACTGTACGACCGGACGGTACCGTGCAATCCGTTGGACCCGGAAAGGCGACTGGACGCTACGTTGGCTTTGGGCCGGCCCGACGTTGGGATGTCCAAGGAGTGGACTTCTGTTAGGGAGGCCTTCTGAAGACTACTCTTGTCGGTTTTGGCCGTCGTAGTCTGTCAAACCTGTCCAAACACGGAGTAATTCTATACCCGATATGACAGTCCCGTTTGTCAAAAAATTTTAAGAAGGTTACTCGTAATTGCCCACGAATCCTGAGGAGATCTCGGTCACCAAGAGTTCACCCCCAGTTACTGGGTTTTCACCCAGCGTCTACATAATGATAACAGAAGAGTCTCACATGGTCTTACGCATCAAATATACCAATCTAACGATTTTGTTTAGTAGGACCCCCGCTTCTTAAGGGGGTCTTGTGGGGGAGACCCCTAACTCCAAATCGTCAGCACGGAAAAATCATATGTCATGTCGAACTAAGTAGTAGTAGTGATTTGGGAATAAATTTATCGTAAGATTCAATTACACTTTCCCTTATATTCCTATTTACGTGACATTGAAGTGAAGTATTATACACCCGCTTTTTCGCCATTATATGTGTCTAGAGAACAACTTATCTAAACTTCACCACAGTTTAAGCCCAGTCGTTAATACTTTTTCTTTTCACCCAGGGCTTTCCGGCCTGGTCTAACTCTTGCTATGCGAGATTCTTGCACTGGGGGGCAGATACTCGTGGTATGCTAGTTTGTCAGGGGCAGAATCCATGTGTCCGCTTAAGGGTGTATTCGCTCGAACTTTATTATGAGAAATTCTTTACCTGCTTTGGACGTTACTTTCGCTTGCCCTTCACTCCTGGGTCTTGTTTGCTATTCTGCCGTGTGTGTCTGTCGTAGAAAGAGTAAGAGTCGACCTGCGTTCTCAATTCAAAAAAAAAAAGAAAAAACGCTACACCTTATCTTCTTTGGTTTCCTGGTTGGCGTGTGCGATAAACAACAACCTATAGTGCGGTCAGCAAAAAGAAGGAGCCTACATACGTGCGTCAGGTCTCGGGTCAGACCATGAAGGCCATACCAACGGAGAAGAACTTACTGTTATGTGGTCGATGGCGGCCGACGAACCATTTCTGCTCAATGTCCGGGAAGGGTCTTGTGGGGGTTGGTTTGTGTTTGGACGAATTGGGAGAAAAATAATAGGTGGGCCGGGGCGTCATNCAATTTAATTTTTCATTTTTGCTCACGTTTGTGGTGGCCTATTTTGTTTCCAACCACCGTTGATGACATAAATGTTTATGCTCATACAATTATCACAACAAAGATTGTCAATCACAAATGTAATTTAGATTAAAGTAAAAATATCTTCAACAAAAAAAAAGTCCATCTGTCATCACCTTTCAAAAGTAATCAAACAATAGATGTCTGCAATGTGGTCTCTTGTCTTCCTTGTATTATTTTTCATGTCCACTAGATGGCGATCGGTAGGATTAAAGCACCGATATTCAGGATCTAGTCATCTTGAAAAGTCTGAATGTGGATCCGGCTGATCCTATCCTGAATTGCTTTGAACTCCAGGGACAACGTCTGGCCGACTTGTCTGATCCTGGATCACAAAAAATGGAATTTCAAAATCTGATCCAGGCGTTTCAAGATCCCCGTGTTTCAAGATCCAGGTGTTTCAAGATCCAGGCGTTTCAAGATCCCCGCGTTTCAAGATCCAGGCGTTTCAAGATCCCCGCGTTTCAAGATCCAGGCGTTTCAAGATCCAGGCGTTTCAAGATCCAGGCGTTTCAAGATCCCCGCGTTTCAAGATCCAGGCGTTTCAAGATCCAGGTGTTTCAAGATCCAGGCGTTTCAAGATCCAGCCGTTTCAAGATCCCCGCGTTTCAAGATCCAGGTGTTTCAAGATCCAGGCGTTTCAAGATCCAGGCGTTTCAAGATCCCCGCGTTTCAAGATCCAGGCGTTTCAAGATCCAGGCGTTTCAAGATCCAGGCGTTTCAAGATCCTCGTACTTCAGAATACTCGTGTCCGTCGATACCGTATTGGGTCATACCCCTGGACGCCCCAGTGTAACAGTGCTCTCCCCTCATGTTGATGTCTCTGACAGGATGTTTATGATCTTCCTCCTCTCAGCCGTCTTCCTCTTCGTCACGCTGGCAGTCGTCTCCACTCTGCTGCTGACGACCCTCGTCATCATCACTCTGAGACGCCACCGTCTGTCCCACCGCCTGTCCTCCTTTAGGTAACACCTATCTATCTATCTATCTATCTATCTATCTATCTATCTATCTATCTATCTATCTATCTATCTATCTATCAATAATAATAGGCTGTGGTATAATGAAATGTGTTTCTCCCTGCAGTGATAAGGAGGAGCTGCTCCCAGACGAACAATCTTCTGTGGAGTCCCTGAACGTCTCAGAGAGCCCCAAACCAGACCAGGCCTGAGGAGATCTGATCATATTCATCTGGAATAACTCTAATATATAACTGTAATCTGGATTACCTTTATGATATGACTGTTATCGGGATTATCTTTAAAAATAAACTAATCAGGATCATTTTAATAATAATATTAGTTTAGTTTGGCTGCTATCATTGATTTATTAATAAATAAGGAAACTAAATTGATAATAAAATGTTTTACGATTTGATTGAGGAACTGTTATGTTAGTAATTTTTCTTGTTTAGTTAAAACATATTAAAATGAGCGTATTTTTACCGATAAGAGTTTATATTTTAAAAGCTATTTATATGTTGCCATTTCAAAGTGGTGAATACGATCACTTCTGATTATCGTTCAGCGCTAATCTGTCGATTAATACAAAAATATTTTCTGTAACGTCTGGTTTTTAAATCGTTGTAAACTGTATAACCTTTATACCTGCGTCGTGCCTCAAGATGATTTACACTTTCATATTTTATGAAGTTAATGTGAAAACAAGTTTTAATGAATGACCGTGCTGCAGGTAGAGGAAATCAACCAATCACAGCCCTACATGGAGCCTACTTCCCACAATGCGTCAGGACTCTGATTACCTGGGGCCTACGTTTCCCATAATGCAACAGAGCTTTGATTCCCTGGAGAACACGTTTACCATAATGCAACAGAGCTTTGATTCCCTGGAGAACACGTTTCCCATAATGCAACAGAGCTGTGTTTATTGATGGATTAGTACTTTTGATTAGTTAGTAATTGATAAAAGATCCTCCAACACTATTATTTGGATAGTTTCATATCAAACCAAAATGAATTAACTGATATTCTGTCATGCTGTGTTTTAATTAAAAGAGCTCCAGAATAAGTTCATTTTTCTCTGTGATTAAAGTTTCTGTTTTTACATATGAAGGGTTTTTCTTTATCTCAATAAAAATGTATTTACACCTCAATGTTTTCATGTTCATATTTGATCTTGTTTTTAATTCTCACAAACGGATGATGATGTTCCAGTTGTTAAACTGTAATATTAGACATTTCTGATATATCTCTTCCTGGTTGCTGTGGTTCCTAAACGTTTCCACTTTGCAATAACACAACTCAAAGTTGATCGTGGAATATCTAGGAGAGAAGAAATGAACTGACTTGTTGCAGCGGTGGCATTCTGTTATAGAACCACGTTGAATTCAGTGAACTCTTTAGAACAAGCCATTCTTTCACACCTGTTTGTAAAGGCAGACTGCATGGCTAGGTGCTTGCTTTTATACATCTGAGGCAATGGGACTGAAGGAAACTCCTGAATTCAATGATTCCGATGAGTGTCCCAACACTTATGTCTATATAGGGGAGAGTGGGGTAAGTTGAGCCATTTGCTGTCCTCTCTAAGCAAGGAGAAATGACGCATAGTAAAAATGTAAGCACGCCTATAATTCAGGATGTCTCCTATCAATGGCAATGATAAGATTTAATATTTGATCAAGGGCAGTGAAAATCAGGGCCATCCAATGTCCGGGTCCTCGGCAGGAAGTCGGACCGTTGTGACGAAAAGAGAGCTGAGCCAGAAGGCAAAGCTCTCTGTCTACTGGGCCATTTCGTTCCTACCCTCACCTATGGTCATGAAGGATGGGTCATGACCGAAAGAACGAGATCGCGGATACAAGCGGCCGAGATGGGTTTTCTCCGCAGGGTGGCTGGCGTCTCCCTTAAGCCAGTTGAGGTGGTTTGGGCACCTAGTAAGGATGCCACCTGGACGCCTCCCTAGGGAGGTGTTCCAGGCACGTCCAGCTGGGAAGAGACCGAGGGGTAGACCTAGGACCAGGTTGAGGGATTATATCTCTTGGCTGGCCTGGGAGCGCCTTGGGATCCCCCAGTCAGAGCTGGTTGATGTGGCCAGGGAAAAGAAAGTTTGGGGCTCTCTGCTGGAACTGCTACCTCCGCGACCCGACCACGGATAAGCGGCAGAAGATGGATGGATGGATGGATGGCACTGTAACTGACCTCTTAACTTTGTTGGCAAAATTCTACACTTGCAAAAATTCTGTAGCTGCCTACCTCATCTCTTTGTCCTTCTGTATGATTGGTATAGATTGAATAAGTGGAATGGATGAAGGATTAAGGCTTTTACTGGCTCCACCTCATCAGTGTTCTTCATGAATAGAGCCAGTGTCCCTGAAGTTTTACACATTCAGCAGGTAATAGATATATGATGAGCAATAAATGCTAGTAATGGTTACGGTGTCCCTATTATGCCTCAGAGTCCATTTCAAGTAACATTTTACCAACCTCGTTTTATTCATCCTTCCCCTTAAAATGCTTCCCTGTTAGACAGATATTGCCATCCCACTTTACATTACACTAACCAGGACAACCTTGAAATACTCTGCCACCTTTCTGAATTGTGCGTATCTATCATTTAATAAATCAAACCACATGGGCCTTAAGAGGTTGGTTGTGGGCCTGTGTGCATACAAATGCATCCCACATGGCGTCTAGTGTACCCTTATAGCTGCGGTTTCTGCCAGGAGGAGTTCCACGGGGAGGAACCTCTCCGTGGAACATTAGCTGTGTGTTCAAAGAGATCCCAGTCCCAGAGATCTGAAAATAAACGCTGATGATAGAAATTAATTTGTAGAATTATTGTGTGGATGATGTGTTAGAGGTTTGGATTCTGTAGTTTCTGTGCACGCTTCCCTTCCTGCATGTCCCTATATGGAGCTGTCCTATGGCTCACCTTGTGCCTTTGAAATTATTCACGAGGCAGTTACGCTCAGTTATGTGTCCATTAAGCACCATCTGCAGCCTGCTGGGGAGGAAAGAGAGGAAGAGAGAGAAAGATAGGAAGCCTCATGGAGAGAGATGAGAGGGGACAGGAAATATAAAGGAAGGGAGCAAAAAATAGAAGATGGTGGAATAAAGTACACAAGGGGTGGAGTCATAGATGATGGAAGGGTTTGGAAGAGACAAAACAAAGATGACACCAGCAGATAAAGTGAACAGTAAAAGGCAGGTACTCTGTAGGTAGGTCGAAGGTTTTGCATATCGTGTGAAGCTGTGCGGCGGTTGATTTCTGTCCATAGATTACCTGCGGGGATGAGCTCGCCGCCACACGTTCCTTTGCCGGTGCGTTGCCCCAGCAACAGATGAGCCAAGCCAACAATAATTGGTGGAGGGTCTGTAATGCTGCCTGCAGTAGCAAGAGATCACACAGAAGTGAGACTCACAACAAAGACATTATAATGAGAAGCCACCACGTGCTGACACCAATCTGGAACAATACAGATCCACTGACCTCTGCACCAACCCACATTTTCTATATAAATAACTTTAAGGTTATAACTTTTCTGAAGTTTGTAACACTGATTAACAGCTGTGCAGAGATAAAAGACATTTATTAATTTGTTCCTCTTGAGCTGGTGTTTGCAGCAATGTTTGTGGCAAATGAACAGCGTTATGTCTAGGCTCTGTGAAGCATAATCCTAATGATTTAGGCCAAAATAGAGAGTTTAAGTTTGATGTTATTTACCACAAAGCTAAAAAGTAAATACTGGCAGCAAGCCACATATTCATACAATAAATGTGCATACATTAGTGAAATCATCCCTGTCAGCCCACTGGCTATGGTAGTGTTGCATTTTGCATAATAATGTGCAGGATGGCAAGTGAAGCGATGTTGGACGTTGCACACAGTCCGTGGACTGTTAAGCCCTTTCTATGAAAAATAATGATATTCTCCCCCAATGCCTAATGCTCCTTTCAGTGACACTTGGGGTCATAGAAAGGGGGAGATGGGATTAAATATGCAGCAAAACTCCTTGAAGACATTCACATTGTTGAACTTGCTTTTTCGAATAGAAACTGACAGGAATGGTTGTGTAAAAGAACTCGACAGAGAAGATTTAACCCTGACTCCTTGCTCACCTTCACAAAGCCATGACTGTCAAATTGTCGGTTGGGGCAGACCTGAAATCATCACTTTAGCAAAGCTGCGTTTTACTTCCACAAGGTTGAGAAAGAAACCCTTTTTTGTGGAGAGAACAAGGTCACTTATTAGGATTATATTATTGGAAAAAACGTGCTTTTAATAAATGTTTTGTCATAATTTAAATGCACAAAAGCTATACAACACATTAAAGGAAAGGGAAAAGCCCAGGAAGCACAGTAGGCCCTCTTCAAGTAACTGAATTGACTGACTGAATCATACTTTGAAGGGTATTTTTTCTTTGACAAGTTACTGCTTAAGACATTTCTGTCAATTCTCTGTGACAGCTAAAAAATGCTTCTTTGAGATTTAAGCTTACATGACCCACGTTTGTAGCAATTGTAGCAATCATGCTTATGGATATGTTTGCAAAAAAAAAAAGCCAGTTTGTTCACTGGACTCACAGAAGCTCAGTTAAAACTTAAGAAAAATATTCAATTTAAATAAAGCATGCTCCACAGACTGACAAAACGTTAAGATGTGCCATGGGCTTGTTTATTAAGTTTGTCAGAGACTTCTTTTTTAAGGACAGAGAGTCTGAGAATGAAAATATTTTAGATTTCAAACAACTTTGATGTGCTCTGACAGGGAGCCATATGGCGCTGCATTGACTAATCCTCCTCGTGTTCCAGACATTCCTAACTGGATTATCTACTTGGCTGCTTAATACTATTTCATTTTCATTCTGTCACAGACAGCCTATCCCCATACATCACTCACACTGGGATTCAATTAGCATGGCGGTAATTAAGCAGGGGCCGCTTCTCCCTGAAATGCACACAAAATCATTTGACGGCCTGCCAGTAGAAGAGAAGTGTGTGTTTGTTTGTGTGTGAGAGAAAGTGTGTCGTTTTGACCGAGTGAGAGGGACTAGGTGATGAATGTGAGAGGAGGATACAGTTCTGTCAAATGTTTTCCGTTTGTTTGATATCATCGTCGCTTGTGACTACACAACATAATCGTGTCAACTATCACACACACAAAACGCTTTAACAGTAACTGTATAACGTTGTTATAATAAGTATCAGCTTGCACAATACTCCATTTCATTTAAGAGGACCTACAACTTTAGATTATTCACTGATTCATCAAAAGAAACTTGGTCACTGCCAGTAAGAATAAGTCAGGAAATATAAATAACAGGAAATAACTTAAAGAGTCATTCCTGCATTTAGTAATACATTTCCCATAAGACAAATCCATAGTCTACTTCTCCTCCGTGCCTAGTAAACAGCTTCTGAAGAATTGCAGCATCCACAATGGAAATTGGCTGATGTATGCCACTATTTTTGTGGCATATGCCAAACCTGAAATGCATGTCCCTGTTGATGACTGTACTCCTCTGCTGTTCTACTAGCTTTGGCACTCGCAGTATAACCTGCATGTCACTCCTTCACTGACTTGTGACAGATTCCATTTTTCAACGTGGCAGCTTCTGCTCCATTGACAGGTACCACTTTTCACTGCTGTACTGCCAGTGTAGTGCCCTTATGGTCCAACTTTATCCCAGCCTGTGGTTGCTTTAATTGTTGCACAAGGCTAATATGTAGCTAATCTTGATAGACATATTCTGCATATGAATGACAACAATTAAGCTTAGTATAAACTTAAAATTAGCTTGTAAACTGGCTACTTGTCAAACAGTTCAGGCATAGAAATTGTATGAGCAGCTCACAATGCCGGAACCCCAGACTTTTTGACCCGTATGCAAATTCAAAATGCACTAAAGGATGTTTTGGTTTGTTCTTGTGTAGCATAATGGACTAAGCTACCGAAATTGCAAATCTGTGCAATCCTTGAATAGACGACGTGACCCCCAGAGGCCAATCGTCATCAGATCAGTGGCTTAATGGTTTAGAGATTGATAATTACTATTTTTTATTTTTTTTTGGCATATGCCAGATGAAAAACAGTGAATTGACGCATGATATTGAAACAAAACCAGCGGAGAGGGGTCTGGTATCCCGTAGCAGT